AAAATCAAAATTATTAACAAATAAAATGTATTATAATCTTGTAAAAAATTAGTGTAGGGTTTTTTTTATTTGATATGTTTTTGATCTAGACATCAAATGAATTTTCAAAAGTAAGTTTTTAAAATAGAAATATGACACATCTTACTTTTTCTAAGATCAACCACATCAATTTTTGTTGAATCACAACATAAATATTCTAYAACTATTCGCAATGAAAGACATACACAACTTCTCTGAACAACAATTTTTTTGAAGGAAATAAAACGATGGGCCAACTAAAATCAACCGACAACGGGACATAASATAATGTGATACTTGAAGTTACCGACAATAAACTAAAGATTGTATGTGATGGAAACTCGGTTCTCTTTGCATGAAGGATATTTCGTTTAAGATATTTTTCTTTTATAAGATGCAAGAAGGATCAATCGTCAAATAATATATACTTATATTTAATAAAATAATCATGCAAGTAAAAGTTGNNTATGACGCTAAACTAAAAGCAAATGACAATGTTGTCATTTCATTGTTATTATAGAGTCTCATTTTAGAGGAGAGATGCTATGAGACTATCAAATGTGAGTATGGGGTATTCTCAGTGAAGATTAAGGATGGTGATGTACCTCGATTCGATCCGATCCGATCCGGCTCATCCGATCTAAACAGGGATAGGGATTCCCCATTAAAACGGGTCCGAGAATTTTCGATAGACTCAAACAATGCATGAACCAGGGGACGTTACTTAAATCGGGGCCGGGATTCTCGATAGACTCAAACTAACATATTTTTTTTCATAATCTAATGAAGATCATGATTTAGAGGAGAGATGGTGTGAGACTATCAAATGTAAATGTGAATGTGGGGTAGAGGCTTCTCCAACTATATCTATATGTAACCATGTATGTAAGTTATATAACTAATTGGGTTGATCCGATCCGAGCTCTAGACCTGGTTACTTCATCTACATGACATGGACCATATATATGCCTCCAACTCATGCACTAAATATAAAGAAGACGACRTTACAATCGATGATTTGACGAGTCCTCGTTGTAAATCGGTCCCAATAATCAAGATTCAAGACTTGGCGGAAATGGCAGCAAATCTGGGAATATCCGTGAGCATGACGTCAAGCCTCGTACTGGTTATCGAACCAAACCCCACGAATATTTCACCTACAATATCACTACCAAAAGACAAGTGCCTTTTTCTCTGAAAAATTAAGAAATATTCGCATATTTTTTGTGTGGCTTTCGCCAACCTCTATCTTATTCTTCAATCCATCCTCTTCTCTTCCTCATCTTCATTCCAATCCATCCTCTTTAAACCCTGCTTTCACCCTACTATCACTATATCATCTAACAATAAGCGTCTCTGTGTATATTCATCGATTAGACGCTGAATGCCAACCTTTTGGTTTCCTATTCGGACTCTTTCTCATTTACACCTTATCTACTACATCCGATTGAATTTTAGTCATTTCCGATTTCYTTCTTGATTCATGCCTGCTTCTCATGCTTAGTTTGATTCAATGAGATTTCTGTCGGCTTCCAATGCTTCTCAATAGATATGGCTTCTGCCCCTTCACTGTCAGGTGCTCATCTATTGCTTCTCTTTCTTGGGCTTATTACTAGGGTTTGGTCAATTTCATTTTCAGAATTTCTCTTTTCGCAGTGCCACTCGAATGTGTGAATATATCCAAGTTTCCTAAAGGGGGTGCAAGTGCAAGATATGATTGTAATGCACTTTCCTGTGCCTGGAAGGCTCCCAGGGCATTTACCGGCTTTCTGGCCAGCACTGCACATTCATCAGCTTTGCTGCATGGACAAAATGACAGAAATAAGAATTATACCCGTGATCATCATGTCCGTGTAACATTCACTTGCCCTCTACTTTACTATATATGTTAACTTTTTTATTTTTATTTTTATTCTCTTTGCATTATATAAACCGTAAAATCTAGTGTTGATTCAAACAGGTGGAATTTTGTATCTTTTGTTTGCAATTCTTGACCTTTTCCTAGCTAGACCACCCTGTCTAGTATCCAAGATTAGCTGCCAAGCAATTCACTGTCAAATCTTGGAAAGCAAATAGAATGGAAACCCCTACAGCGGTATCCTTACCATGTAATCAGGATGTCTTCAATGTAAATGTTAGTGCTATTCATTTATCCGAATCAAAATTTTGTGGGCCACATGGCCCATCAATTATGTGATGCACTTTGCAATTAGGATGGTCCCCATTCTATCAAGTAGGTAGACATACTAGCCATTTGMTACTAATAGAACATATTACATTGACATGAAGGACTCTAGGTTCCTCTTTGATAAAACTAAATGAATAAATGCTAGATGATTAAGAAGGCTGAATGATATAGAGACACAGTTTGGAATTGGTGTCAAATGAAAGAAGACTATTTGATAASTTTTTTGACGCCATTCAAATGCTGAAATCTGAGAACTACAAATGTACATTCATTCCCCCAAAAGATTCCCACTCACGACCCATGTAACAAGCTACACCAAGTAAGAAAGTTCCACTTCACCCGAACCCTTCCCCCGGGGGAAAGAAGATACGCACACACAGATGTATAAGAAACCTCATCCACAGCATACACCAAATCAGTGGTTTGAAAATCACAAGGATTTGATAAATCACGGAAACTTTGTACATCAAATAACCCAGTCACATGCATAAATATTTATAAAACCAAAAACTACTACAACTCCAAATACAATATTTTGATGAATTGCTACATTTTTCTTGTTAAAAGCAAACTCTGTTACTTCAAHACCATGGGTGAGATCCTGGACACACCATCGATTCAAAGACCTATATGAACACCCCCATGAACACACATTCCATTTGATCTCCAATGGTTTAAGAGGCTTTTTCTTTCACAAACAAACCCCTCATGTCATGGATTCAGATGTAGGATTCCATTCAGCCCCTTTGAGTGCTTAACAAACAACTCCCTGTGTTGATGGTTCATTCCATTAAATTAGTTGACGGCTGTAAGTACTTCTCTAGCTTWGGTGGAGGGCTGCCATCAGTCTCGTTAAATTAATATGTTCGGWTTTCATGTATTGTTCTCTACATATAGTCATGCATATTTTCTTCATACCAATCTGTTAACTAGGGAAAAAAAGTGTAAACTATGATTGATGTTTGATTAAAGAGGTGCAGTCCTGGAACTAACTGAATTTATAAATTGAGGATATGATCTACATTGAAATTTCTAATACTTAATATCGTCATAATTGTTGGCAGACGATGCTAGCTTATAGATGTGAAGTTTTGCTGCATTGGTGGGAATGCTTGCCATTTGTATGTTGGAGTCGTGAAATATTTTTATCTTACATGAAATTATGTTTCATGACCCATAAARTACATAATCTGGAATTAGTTGGACTTTGTACTTGTTTGATCATGAAATAAGTGCTGAAATGAGTTATGAGCTAATGCTTGTCTCAGTTGTTAAATCTTTCTACTAGTAGTAGGGCATTGACCATCTTTCTCAAGAGCAATTAGTCGCACGTGTATAACACTTACAAATAGCTGATTTTCAATCTTGTATACTTTTATAAGGGCAAGAAGAACAATGGCCTAGGGCTTTTGKTACTGATGGCTGTCGCTCTACTTGATCTTTATGACAGAGATGTGAAGTTGCTGGTAAGAGATCCTGGTTATCRTCTGAAGCTTCAGACTTCTTTCCTCCAAGAAAACTCTTAAGGTCAAGTTTGCTTCATATTGGCTGTAGAAAATGGGTAGTGGGTTGTTCTTCATCTTTTCCTCCAGGATATGATGAGCTTTCTCCTGAACGTTTATGGGAGGTATGTAACATTGTTGCCATGCTGGAGGTTCTGTTAAGAGAAAGCATATAGGAGTACTTGAACAGTATGTAAGTTAAAAATTATTTTGTATTGCCCAAGAGAAGTAGCTCTTTGTGTTTTCAATTTTTTCCTGTGTTTTATAGAGATAGTTCTTTTCATTTTTAGGAAAAAACAGACTTCTTTTCCCGAAATGGTTGTTGCACAATTACCTTAAGAGAAGTCCCAAAGTAATTGCTACATACCCATTTTCCATGTTACTTGGGGAAATGGAAGTKTTTGCCCTTCACACGTCTTATGATGTTTCCTGTAGTAGTAATACGTAGGAGTTTGAAGGGCAATGTAATTGTTCACAATACAATTGAAACTTATCTTGAATAGCCGAAATCGGAGGAAATAACAATTTAGAAATTTGGTTTTCTTACATCAACAGTTTCTGTAACAGAAATGTGAATTTGGTGTTGTATATATAGCCACACATCGAGGGGTAGGATTAGAACTGATTATATATAGAAGGTTGGGGATGCCTTTGGTTGAGGAGAAAACGAGGCGACACCGTGAATAGAGTTTAATAGGAGACATGTATTATGAGAACTTAACTGCACGAGTTAACATAGGAAACTTGTACTGTGACGAGCAGAGGTCATGAAAAGAGTTGAATGAGTGGAGTAAACTGTATGCCAACGTATTGTTGTGTATTAACCAGTTAACCTTTGAATTTCTATGCATCTATTATTTCAAAGGACTTCAAGTTAATATATTAATATAAGGGGTATTCACCACCCTCTGGAGCGCCCCCGCCTCACCGGTCCCACTGTCATCATGGGGGAGGTATATCACACATGCATCCCATTGGCAGAGGGGAGATGTGTGGGCTTGAACCCAGGACCTCACACATATAGATTACATCCACGCCTCTTGGTTTACTTGCCATTCTATTTGCACAAAGCATTGAGACATGTTCGTGACTAGTATTTCACTATATGAGACATACTACTTGCTGAACCTAGTGCATTACATAACAGACAAATCAATCCACRAAGGACAAATACTGCTTAAAATTCAAGATCATTGAGATTAATTGCATTTTAGCATGGGTGTAACATACCGTCTCAACTTGCCTACGATTACTTTGTCTGGGTAAAACTTGCCTATGATTAGTAAAGATGTTAAGATCAAAGTATCCTGAAAACTTTTGAGTTTCAAAATGAACCTGGTTCTTTTGCTTTACTTTACCTCCAAGATTACATGGGACCCCCTTCTTACGCCTTCATCGATAATTTTGTTCATTTGGACCTAGCATTTTGAACCATTCTACTTAGGCAATTCTTTCGAACTCGCCAATTTGCTTGCAAAAATGCGAAAAAGAAGCAGCCACGTTGGTWCACATAGTGAAGGGAATACTAGAGTTACCCGAAGAGTAGTGAAACTAATACTACAGTTGGCAATTGGAGTTTTGTGATTGCTGTTATCTACCAATTGTAGGGTTACTTTTTTTTTTCTTTCTTTTTCATGATTCACAAGTTTGTTGGTTGTTTAGAAAAGAAATGGCGAGTACTAACGGTTTGAAATTCTAATTGTGCCTTTAGCTTTGTGTCACACAAGCGATATGTGAAAAGAAAGATGTATATTTATGTTTATGGAAGCAGTGTAACGTGAATAGGATTATGTTTTTCGTTTGAACTGGTTACATGGGAGTACTGATGGTTTCTTTTATTACTTGTTTGAAATGCTAATCGCTCCTTTAGCTTGTAGCACACAAGCTTTATGTAAAAATAAAGATGTGTTTTATGTTATGGAAGCAGTTAAAGTTGGTGCATTATGTTTTTTGTTTGAACTGTGTAAATGGGGTACTGATGGCTTCTTTCATTACTTCAGGTACTTAAACCTGCTATCGCATACCTTACGTCTGATGAGTTAGAGTTAGTGCATAATGCTYTAAAAGTAAGTTCTTTATAGTTTTTATCTGCAAATATTACTGTCATTATCCTTCTTGCTGCATTTCAGATCTTTTCTATACCTCTTCTCTTTTCTCTCGATCTATGAAGTGAATGTCAGAAATGCTTGTTGATAACTTATGTCATGTTTCTTTGGGGGTTCATTCATGTGCTAATCAGCTAGAGCTTGTGAATCTGAAGTGCTTTTAATATTAATACCTTTTGATAATGGTTTCCCGTTATGTGTTCCTGTAGCTGGCCTTTGAGGCACATGATGGGCAAAAACGACGCAGTGGAGAACCCTTTATCGTTCACCCTGTTGAAGTTGCACRAATTCTTGGAGAACTAGTGAGTTGCACAATATTATCAGTCTGCTTAAAATAATTGGCTAGATCTGTAAATCCATCATTATTTGTTGGGTTCTTTTAGTTTTGTTGACTTCTAGTACTTGAAATACTTTGAGATAGAGGCTTAATTTTGATTAATTAGCTGACCAATAACCCTTTGTTAAGGAATTAGACTGGGAGTCAATAGCTGCTGGTTTATTACATGACACAGTCGAAGATACAAATGTTGTTACCTTTGAAAGAATAGAGAAAGAATTTGGTGTCACTGTCCGTCACATTGTTGAAGGAGAAACAAAGGTGCTCACTGCTCTATGTTGCATATAGTGTTGCTGAAGTTTATATGTGAACTCTTTTCCGCTACATAGTGCACTTGTCATACCTGAAMTTAGTCTATAATTCAGGTGTCCAAACTTGGAAAGCTGAAGTGTAAGAATGAAATTGTTTCGGTACAAGATGTGAAAGCAGATGATCTTCGACAAATGTTTCTGGCTATGACAGAGGAGGTAATCTATTAAGTGATACTTCTGTCTTCTTGTTATTCATGCTAACAGCTACTGAACATTCTCTTTTTCAGGTGCGGGTGATTATTGTCAAATTAGCAGACAGATTACACAACATGCGCACTCTTTCACATATGCCTTTACACAAGCAGGTGGAGTGGAACTTAATCAATTTCCATTTTCATTATTCAAGTTCCTATTGTTCTCAAAGTTTTTGATGCGTACAGTGCAGCATTGCTATGGAGACCTTACAGGTTTTTGCTCCTCTAGCAAAGCTACTGGGGATATACCAAATTAAAGTATGTTACCACTTTTATAGTGCTTCAGTCTAATTTTCCTTATGTATTTGAATAGTTCTGAACTCAAAATAAGGTCACTTGATTTTTGCTGCATATTAACCAATGTTCTGCGTGGAATTAGATCCAGGTCCTTGTTACTTAATTCCACTTTAAGTATGGTTTGTGATTGGGTCTGTGGTACATATGGTTCATGAAGTAGAATGTGATACAACTAGTACTTGATCAACATCACCAACTTGTAACTAAACACAAGCGTGCTACATTTCTATTAAGCCCTAGTATATCTTATGTCTACTATTTGGTTGTCTTTATGAATTTTTTAATCGGAGCATRGGGCTTCAGTGCTGATACCCTGGGACTCCCAAATAATTTTTCTGTAGATGGCTTGCTGTTACTTTTTTGGCGATGCACTTTTCCCTTTGTTCTTTCATGCTTCCTGTACAAGCAATCCTTACATATATATATATATATATATATATATATATGCACACCTTCTGTACTGAACAATTTTTTCTATGCAGTCTGAGCTAGAGAATTTGTCCTTCATGTACACAAATCCTCAAGATTATGGTAAAATCAAGAGGCGGGTAGCAGAGCTCTATAAAAACCACGAGAAAGAAATTGAAGAGGTACTGTATTGCTCTCTAGATTGGAAGGATTCAGTATTTGGGTATGGCTTGCTATAAATTCAAACACTTTATTGCTTATTAGTTATWACACAGATAATTAGCTTTAGAAGAAGCTGCTACTTAATAAAGTTTTATCATTTATTCCATCATTTGTTTCGTCAATTTACTCTTTTGGCTTATATGACTCTTCTTCCTTTGTTAGGCAAATAAACTATTGATCAAGAAGATTGAAGATGATCAGTTCTTAAACCTTATGACTCTGAAAACTGAGGTCCAGTCAGTATGTAAGGAACCTTACAGGTAAAGTGATGYATCCTTGTTTGCTTACCCCTTTGTTCTCTTTGTCTATGCTTATTTCTGTATGTTGACTGTTGAATATGAATATGTTACCATAATGTGCATTTTTCGGTTTAGGAAGATATTTCTTCRCATTCAATTTTTTTCTGATACCTTCCCTAGCAGCATATTGATTTTGAGTTCCTATATTTGCAGCATCTATAAGTCTGTGCTCAAATCCAGCGKTTCAATTAATGAAGTTAACCAAATTGCACAGGTAGTTAAACAAGGTCTCTTAATGCTGCATCTAGAACATATAATTACTTCTAAATGTATTTTGACATGCTTTTATGCTTCGGATTTCAGCTTCGCATTATTGTTAAACCCAAACCTTGTGTTGGTGTTGGACCCTTGTGTAATGCTCAGCAGGTAGCTTAAGGTTGCCAAATAATGATTGTCTATTATAACAAATCGAGACAACACTTCGTGTTGAGCAGTTGCATGGCTTTGCGTCAAATACTTTTTTTTTCTTCATGCAGATTTGCTACCACGTTCTTGGGCTGGTACATGGGATCTGGACCCCCATACCTCGAGCTGTGTGTATCTTGGTCATCATGTCATTGTTTTAATTGATATTCAGCTCTTTATTGGTGTTGTGAATTACAGCCTTGTATAACTTTTTCCACAGATGAAAGACTACATRGCAACCCCAAAACCTAATGGCTATCAGAGTCTTCATACTACTGTAATTCCATTTCTTTATGAGAGTACATTTCGTCTGGAAGTTCAGGTAGGTTCCTCGATAAACTATGTTTTCCTGTRTCTTGAATTTATTTCTTTGTTAAACATCACAACTCTTTTCACTACAGTTGATATATTTATCTGTTTCTCAAGTATTTGATATTAAAACTTCTACATGCAAAACATCATTTTATGATTGGCAGATTAGAACGGAAGAGATGAACTTGATAGCAGATAGAGGCATTGCTGCTCATTATAGTGGGAAAGTTTTTGTGAATGACTTGGTCAGATATATGTCTAATGATGACAGAAACTTGAGACGAAAAACAGCCAGTCTTAACAATGCAAATGTGGCACTCAGGGTAGGGTATCAGTTACTCTTCCTTTCATGATAGTATATACCTCAATTTTTAACTGAACTTTAATAAGCTTCTCTATCTTCCTGACCCTGTTGCTAAACATATCGTAAAAGTCTTTTGTTTCCTTCAGATTGGTTGGCTCAATGCAATTAGAGAATGGCAACAGGAGTTTGTTGGAAACATGAGTTCTAGAGAGTTTGTAGATACAGTCACCAAGGACCTTCTAGGGAGTCGGGTTTTTGTATTTACGCCAAGAGGAGAGGTAAAAAAGAAGACCATTGATGCATGACAGTTTTGCACTTTCTAAGCTCTAATTTTTTTGTATTTTATTTTATTTATGCTTTTAATACAACTGACAGATMAAAAATTTGCCCAAGGGAGCAACCGTCATTGACTATGCTTATATGATACACACTGAAATTGGAAACAAGATGGTGGCTGCAAAGGCAAGTCTAACGGCTTTGTGAGTGATGAATACTTTCTCTTGAAGGATCTGAAGTCTAATGGCTTGATCTCTCTCATTTGCAGGTTAATGGAAATCTTGTTCCTCCTTTGCATGTGCTTGCAAATGCTGAAGTTGTGGAGATAGTTACCTACAATGTTAGTTGATCTGAAATGCCCTTTATTTTAGATAAAGTAACATGGCCTTTTCTTTCATGCCGCCTTTTGTTCCCTAAATTTCATTTCATGTGATATGATTCCTAAGAGTATAAATGTTACTCTTCATTGCCATTACACTAGATATGGTGTATGTTGGACCTGTCAACACATTAAATAACTTGATGAGAAGCAATGTTAAGCAAATGAAAAGTGATTTTTCTTTCTACTATTATGGAAGTTGAAATCAGATTACATGCCTTGTTTAGTTGTTCTGCAAAAATAAGCCTCATTGGTGTTGCTTGTTATCAGTAGTTTTCTGCTGCCTCACCAACTTTCTTCACTACCAGGGACTATCAAGCAAATCTGCTTTTCAGAGGCACAAGCAATGGCTACAACATGCTAAAACACGTAGTGCCAGGCATAAGATTATGAAAGTAAGTTACTCTTAGTTGTGATTATTGTATGGTTACAATCCCTTTGCCCATGTTAATTTGCTTGCTGTTATCTTCAGTTTTTGAGGGAGCAAGCTGCACTATCTGCATCTGAAATAACAGCTGATTCAGTAAATGAATTCATTGCTGATACTGAAGATGATAGCGAAGTTGAAGACATATTAGATTACTCTAAAGGGACCCAACATACATGGGAGAAAATTCTCATGAATGTAATGGAAATGTCATCTTTAAAGATGGTTGATGAAGATTTTTTCCAGTTCAAGAACGGTAATTTTAAAGTTCCCAAGKTGAATGGCAAGCACAACAAGCATGTGCAGCATGTGAGTTTAAATACCAAAGGAGAGACAACATCACAGGGAAATGGCTTTGCTAAGATGATGCTTGCCAAAGTTCCAATGTATAAGGAAGTATTACCCAGTCTAGAAAGCTGGCTTGCTGGCAAGGTTGCATCCTGGAGCAACCTTGAAGGACACTCCATCCAGTGGTTATGCATTGCCTGTATAGACAGAAAAGGTAAACTTTTCTTCCCGAAAACTAGCAATACCACCATCATTCATTGTGCAGTATGTAAGTTTATGGCATGATGGCTACTGTTGAACTCATCCATTAGATTTTTAAGTAGGAATATATTTAAGAAACAGGTATGTTGTTTCAACCTCGAAAACTTTGGGGATGCCAATTCTTATGTTGGGCATCTACAGATTCTTACTTTGGGTGTAATATTGTTTTATGTCCAACTGATCTGCAGGCATGATGGCTGATATTACAATAGCATTGGCAGATGCAGGCATTGCAATATGCTCATGTGCTGTGAGTAACTGACTTAGACCTTTGTGATTCTAGCATGGTTATCATTTTATTTCCCTAGTTGCTGCTATTTTTTATTAGGAGTGAATATTTGGTTGTGGATTGCATGTGAACAGGCAGAGGTTGACAGAGGAAGAGGAATGGCTGTCATTCTTTTTCATGTTGAAGCAAGCTTGGACAGTCTGGTATGTGATAATCTCTCATGTCTGCTTAATTAACTGAAATTTGTTTATGATAGAGGTTAAGTTTGTTTTGGCATGCATGCAGGTTAGTGGCTGTTCAAGGGTGGATCTGGTCGTTGGTGTGTTAGGATGGTCCACAGGGTGTAGTTGGCCTAGCTTAGCTGAAAATGAGCAAGTACGAGAATGTTAATTAACTGATGGTGTTGAGAGTACAGAGGCTGCTGGGTAACAAGTTTTGTCCGCTCAGAATACACACAATTCTTTTTAGTTGTATGTAGTTATCATATATATATATATRTRTGTGTGTGTGTGTGTGTGYGCGTGTGTGTATTTGTTCAACAATCATTATCAAAATAAAGTAGCAGCAGGGTGATTGAGCAAGTCTGTAGAGAGACTGTATATAAAAGAGAATAGCATACATATTTGTAAGTGTACTTGGAAGGATAAAATTAGTGAGATATATACAAAAGTGTTGTGCAATTTACATCTTCGTCTCTTTCCCTCCCTTCCCCTCTTCTTTTCACTGTATTGCTGTGATATTTACGCATCTTGTATCATATTTGTAAGGTAGCATATTGTTAATGGTTACYGATTTGAGTACCAATAAAGAAAAAAGTGTGGCTACCTATTTGGTGTTTTAATGTAACGAGTCCAACTAAGATCAACTGGGAAGYGAATCATGTGACCTGACACTTAAATCTTGTGATCACTGGTATCATGAGTTTTCTTTCAACAGAGACGTAAAATTTACAGAAAAAATTATGAATTGCTTCGGCCTTTTCATCAATGTACCCAAGGATGTTCGATGCTAGTCTTGTGGACTTCTCTCAATACAAGGTRGTGAACAAGATAGCTAGATATTTGTTTTGACTTCCGTAAATAACTCCGAATGATTACAAAATGGGTGATTGGGGGTATACATGAAATGCCATTATACAAGAAACTAGAAGCCTTTTTATTCATATTTATTTAGTGCGCTTCCGATGGCCCAAAAAGATGAAAATGAAAAACAAACTACCAACAAGACTAACTTCTGGGAGTGGCAGCTCAGAATAGCAATGGCAAATGCACCATATTGATGCCAACAAGAACCATCCCCATAGTTTAAGATTCCATGGCTCACTCGCTGCTGCTTGTTTGGCAAACCTCTGTTTGTAATTCGACGCACTCTTACCTTCTTTCATGATCCCATTATGGTCACTGTCGTTCTGCTYTTTGCCTACAATTGTCATGTTTTCTTCAGTCTTCTGGTTATCTATCTTTGCTTCTGGTATCACTAACTCCTGCATAGAGGAGTATCTTGTTCCATCTGAACTTGCTTCACTCCCATCTTCCTCACCATCTTTGGCTTCTTCAATCAATCTAACATGCCGGATTGCCTCTTCCTTGCTTTTTCCTTCTTTCTTGACCAATTCATCTTCTGTCTCTATCAACTGCCTTGGTGGGTTGACTTCTCCTACCACTGGTTGATCGTCAACTTTGGCTGCTTCAATCAATTGAACATGTGGCAGTTCACCTTCCTTGTCTTTCTCTTGTTCATGGAATTGCATTTGTTGGGCAGCTGCCATCCCCAAGACGTCTTCCGCATTTACTGGCTCCACACTAGCTGCCTTGACTGCTTCTTCTTCTTCTTCTTCTCCTGTTGCTTGTTCGCTGTTGTTTCCTGTTTGTTGCTTCTCTCCTCTCATAACCTCACCTGTTTTGTAACTCAAGTCTCCCTCACAATCCTCCACCACATCTATTTCTTTCTCTTCTTCTAGAAATCGCACTTGAAGGCTGTCTTCTACTTTAATCTTTGCTKCTTCTTTCATTACTAGTTCATTGACAATTGAATCCGGATAACCTGTTTTATCAACCAAGTCTCCATAATTCTCTGGAATCATTTCATCATGACCATATACTTCTTTCTTTTCAAGAAATTGGCGATTCACAGAAGCAGCCCCCGCATTCATGAATACTGTTTCTTGATCTTCAACTACATGCCCAGTTGGTGTTTCTTCTGCAGCATCATCCTTAAGAGGCACCTGACCTTGTGAAGTGATGTCTCTAGAATTTTCGTACTGCATGCTTTCTTCCACTATAACTGCTTCATCTTCTTTTATCAATGTGACACCTTGGATGGAAACTAATGACTTTTCTGTGCCAGCAGCATCAGTCTCTTCATCATCAATCAGCATAGGGTATTTCTGCTCTTCACCACCACCATCTCTGGGTGCAGTGATAGCTAAAATTTCACTAGATGAATCTTCTTCACTCGASGGAAACCCCAGTTCAGTCTGAGTTGCCACAACCGATTGTTGATCATAGTCCAACTCCAACACAATCTTTTCATAACCATYATCAACTACTTTGGTCTCAAAAACATTATCAATATAAATCCAAGTGCTTTTTTGATCTTCACCAACTCCAGAATTTTGGGTTTCATCCTGAAATTAGACAAAATTCAGGACGAAGAAAAATCCATAAATCTAGTGCCCAAAAATGAAGGCATAAGCATATACCGGAGTCAAAATTTGATTGGGTTTAGCCTGCATCTCCTTCATGCCATTTGCCCCATCACTGCTTTAATTGACGATAATCACGAAGTTGTCCAGAAAGAAGATTTCATTATCATTAAAGAAAGAAAACATGCAAACCTGGAATTCTGAAGATCCAGTGATTCCCGATCTTTATTAGTCTTCATCATCAACTCCAAGTGGTTAATGGCATCCGRTGATGAGCGACGTTGTCGTCGTGTTGTGATTGATACAAGGGTTGCAGTCACCAAAGCTCCACCCAACAACACAATACCTCCCAGTCCCAAACACCCAATATTGATTCCCAGCAGCATGGATTTGCCATTCTTCTTCTTGTTGTTGTCATCCCCCATCCCCATCCCCATCCCCATCCAGGGTTTGTGGGTGTGAGCAGAATCTTTCTTGAAAGCAGTGTGTTTGTTTTGGGGGATTGATTAGATGTTTGTTTTGTGCCTTTGTGGTGTGGGGAGAAGGAAAAATACAGAAATATATATATATATATTATATGTATATTTTTTTTTTTTTTTGAGGATTTGGGTTTTGGCAATATGTGATGGTTCACATTCTTGGTATGGAAATGGGTCACATGTTGTATGAGTCAACCCCCGTTCCTATAYTTTATTATATTTACTTAAAAAAGTTGAAAAATAATAATTATTCTGTACAAAATTAATATTTGTTGTAATTAACCCACTCGTTTGATTACATTATTTACTAATATTTCAACTTACTTGTAAGAGCTATTAATACAATAAACATGTGTGTATGTATTAAAAGAGACAAAAGTTGTTATTATCATCTCTTCACCAAACATAACAACAAACTTGGATAAATCAATCAACAAACAATTTTGCATCAAATAAAAATTACATAGTATTGGATCAATAACCTTCTTGAGGCGGGCCTGAAGTATATATAAAAGGGCCTACAGACGACAAATGATATCCTTTAAGGAGACGRGAAGACGTAAGAAGAGCACCAGTAATTCCTCCATTCGTATCTTGTGGAAGTCTACATTTGCTCCATGGGGAGTTCTCAAGAAAAGCCTTGCACTCTGTTAGCTTCCATAAATRGAGTTTGGATGGTGATATTTTGGCCAAGAAGTAACCGTTTTTGTCTGTTGGATAACTCAAGAAGGAAAATGGTGCTGATTCTTGTCCATTCTTGTGCACGGCTACACAACTCACTCTTGCCGTGGCTCCTGTGTTCATTCAACAAACTTGATATCAAATGATGGTTATGTATTTTGGTGTTTTATATAAACAAGTATCTTAAAGCAAAACTAAATATAATATATTATGATAACTACAAGTATTAATAGCAGCGGCCATATRTACCTTTAAGTGGGATGAACTTGGAACCAGATTTACAGTAAATAAGGCCTTGAACAGCTAAGTTATTTGGGTGCTCATATCCCTCCTGATTTGGTATCATGGGTTTTCCATGTTCCGTCTTTTCTTTTGGTGGTAAATATCCTTCGACCCCATACCCAACATGTGCAGAAACAGAAGCAAGCATTGCTATGACCCAGAATAAAAGCGCAACCCAAACATATGATTTTGTGGTTACTGCTTCCATCTTTGTGGTTATGGTTATGGTTATGGTTATGGTTATGGTTATGGTTATGGATGAAGGTTTCTTTCTTATAACTATAGGTATGTATTTTTTTAATAATAATAATTGATATATCTATTTTTTTTTTTTTCATCTCAATGAGAGTGGATTACTTGGTAGCACGATGGCAACGTATAATATATTGGTAGAAWTGGGCCATTAAGCACCCATCCAATCCAGTCCATTATCCATATAATATGATAGGCTTTTATGACTTATTGGGCCTAAATTATTTTGGCCTTTGGGTCATGTTCTTTGGTTGTAAACCAAACCCTAGGCCTAGAGGGAAAGAGAAATGATATAAAAGGTTGTCATCCGCCCACAAACCCTATTCCTCTTGGTCTACTCTACGGTAAGGAGCGATGGTGTCGCTGAAGCTACAGAAGAGGCTTGCAGCCAGCGTCCTCAAGTGCGGTAGAGGCAAGGTTTGGCTAGATCCCAATGAAGGCAATGAGATTTCCATGGCTAATTCGCGTATGTTCCTACTTTCCTTGCTTCTTTTCCATCCATTTTCATCTCGCCTATCAACACTTGTTTGTSGAATTCTTGCAAATGCAACCTGTTTTTGTGCCCTACTGTTACTGTATGGATCCGATCAGCTCAGTTGTTTGAATTCCTTGTTATGCAATTCCTTGATCTATAAACCCTCGATATTTTTAGGTATATAACCTTAAATGAGGCACTTTATTTGAATTTTGAGCATCGCATGTGTAACATTATTAACCCTAAACTTGAAAGCGAATTAGAATAGGTTTGGTTATATTAGATCCTAACAAGTTCATTTGAAACTCCGATGCCAAAAATCCTCCCTTTCAATTTCAAAGTTGAATAACTCGAGGTTTATTTTCTAAATATATTAGTCAAGCCTTTAGGCAAGGACTTGACGAGCGTCGGCTATTATACACGCTATTTTTAACGTGGCACTGGTTAGCTTTTTGTTGTTGCAAGAAATTCATGGCATTTATGCTTTTCATTGAGGAGAAATAACACATGACTTGTAACTACCATTTAATGTTCTAATTAATTTTGTTTCTGTGATGCTTTTAATAAATTGGTATTGGTATYATGTCTTAGTAGAACTGTTGCATCACTTGACTGCTATATATACTGCAAACATARGCAATTACAAGTTTAGAATAACAAAGCAATTTCTTCACTGTTGATGTGATTGCTGCCATATCCTTTTTCCTTTAAAGTTGGTAGGTGATAGTTTATCAGAGCATTTGATTGGGTTGTTTATGGCATTTGCTGGAAATCAACTTCCAACTTTTTAGTGTCCAGGATGTSACATATATCTCTTTCATTTTTCTAGTTGCTTACCTTCTCTTGATTTTTCTTTTGCTTGATGACTGCAGGTCAGAACATCAGAAAGTTGGTTAAGGATGGGTTTATCATCAGGAAGCCTACCAAGATTCACTCACGATCACGTGCTCGTCGTATGAAGGAAGCAAAAAGAAAGGGGCGTCATTCTGGATATGGTATGTGTTTTTATAAAACTTCATCTAAATTTAGCCAAAGGAAAAAAGTGGTTCGTTGATTTTTGAAGAAAGTCTTTTGCTTATATGTTATATTTTAAATGCTAAATTGGATTGATCCAAGTCAGCTACTTGAGTTAATTTTACTTTGTATGCTTGACTAATGTCTTTTGTAATGAACTTAAGGTAAACGTAAGGGTACCAGGGAGGCAAGGTTGCCGACTAAGATTTTGTGGATGAGGAGGATGAGGGTATTGAGGCGCTTGCTCCGCAAGTACCGAGAGTCTAAGAAGATTGATAAGCATATGTATCATGATATGTACATGAAGGTCAAGGGTAATGTCTTCAAGAATAAGCGTGTGCTGATGGAAAGCATTCACAAATCAAAGGCTGAAAAGGCTAGAGAGAAGACTTTATCCGACCAGTTTGAGGCCAAGCGAGCAAAGAACAAGGCCAGCAGGGAAAGGAAGTTGGCACGGAGAGAGGAACGGTTGGCTCAGGTATTTTGATACTCTGTATAGTTTATTGCTGAGATTTCTCTTTTAAATACTTGACATTTTTCCTTGATGGTCTATTCTATTTCATGGAGTTTTTTATTTGTAATTTTATGCAGGGTCCACAGGAGAGAACGCCAGCAGCCCCAGCCGCTKCCCCGGCATCACAACCTGCTGCACAGTGAGTGTTAATGTGACTTGAGTCTTGATTTTATTTGGGTATATTGGGGTTGGATTTGTGGTTTATTCTGACATATTTGTCTTTGTTTTTTTGTTAGGGCACCAAAGAAATCCAGGAAGTGAGGTGTGTATGTTGGTGATGAAGAATATGTCAATGTTTTAACTRGCCTTGCAGTTTAATTTTTTGACCCGCTTGTCTTTGTCGTTTTGGCTTTTCAATGGAACAATTTTATTTAGAAGGTGGAAGGAAGACCTTGATACCATTCCCTGCTTGTTTAATGTTGGTTATATTATTATATGAAATGCTCATGCAACTTTATGGTTTTTGGTGCATATTTAAACCCAGTTATATGTGGTTCTGTCCAACCAATGCAAAATGGAGACCATTTTTGAAATATGTAGGCTGCTGGCAAATTGTTGGTGGCAGACTGAGCTAATCATGCATCTATATTGGTTACAAGTAGAGGCTGCAAATGAATTTGATGCTTTACATTACATATTTGGACAAAAGGTTTTGACAAATGTGTCCTGTTTTTCCAAATGGAAGTCAAGTCCTAATAATATGCTTGTAAAGTGTCTAAGGCCTAATTTGGCCTTGTGTTCAATGCTAGAGTCATCTTTGGTAAGCCGGGAAGGAGGYGGTTGCTTTGTAATCCTCGCTTGATAAATTTCTGTTGAGATCCCCACCACCACAACTTCTTTGGTGGGTTCTTACTCCTAGTTGTTGGACTTGCATGCTTGGATCATTGCATTGACCTAGCCTCACAACAAGTGTGACCGTTGTGCCCTTGCCCAACCCTTCACTTTCAATCCAAATATGGCCTCCCATCAAATTCACAAACCTGCAATTCGATCGYACTTCTTAAAACATGAGAGAGAGAGAGAGAGCAAACACAACAAAAATGGGTGGTTGGGTTGTCTKACTCTCTACCTTTTGCTTATGGCAAGTCCAAGGCCTGCACCATCGCTACTAATAGATGCACTGCAAGACTCTGAAAATTTGGTAAACAGGTGTGGAATGTCTTGCTGAGTAATGCCACTGCCAGAATCCTTAACCTGCTATCAATGAAACATATATGACTTCAGAATCCTTAACCTGCTATCAGTAGAAAAATATATGACTTAGGACACAAACAAATCTTTTTCTTTACATGAATGGATGCATGCTGACCTGCACAAGTAGGTAAAAGAGACCATTGCTTAACGTGGGGCAGAATTCAGGAGTTTCCCACTCTCTTGCATACTCTGAACTCAAAATGGAGGCTTGWACTGAAACATAGCCTTCCTTGGTGAATTTAATTGCGTTACCAGCAACGTTCAAGATGGTTTGCATGAGGCGCTTTTCATCACCAATACCATAAGCAGGTAGATTCAGATCACAATTCAAGGTCATAGATATGTTTTTAACGCATGCGACTGGATGTATCAATCTGATCACCTACATAGAAACATACAAGATGGACAACAAACAGTGCTGTGCATGTTATAGATACAATAAGCAGTACCSACATGATGAATGAATTACCTACCTCACTGAACAAGCCATGGAGGTTGAAGACTTGATTTTCCAATGGTAGGGTACCATCTTGTAGCCTAGAAAGGTCAAGAACATCATTTATGAGTGTTGCCAGAAGGTTGCTACTCTTAAGAATGGTCTCCATCATGCCCCTCTGATCTGGAGTAAGTTGAGTTTCCAAAACAAGTGAAGACAATGCAATAACTGCATGCATAGGTGTTCCCATCTCATGATTCATCACGGCAAGAAAATCATTACGAGCATGGATAGCCATCTCTGCCTCTTGTCGAGCCAAATCYAAAGCAACATTCTGCTCCATCAGCTGCTCATGAGCTCTCATAGACTCTTCTAGAATTGCAGCATGAGAAAGGGCCACAGCAACCTTAAGGTTCCAGGTAATCAATTAGCATCATCTATTTTTTAATAAAYTCTGAATGTGAATCTTGATTCCTAGCTAGCTACTAGTTCAAGAAAATGAATGGATATAAGCAGTTCTCAGTAGGGGGAGTAACCTGGTCAGCAACAACTTCTACGAGTTCCAATTCGTGATCACGCCACTTTCTTACACCATTAAGTGGAAGAATCAAAACCATTATGGCATAACTTTTTGCAGGCCAATCGTCAATTTGAAAGTYTGAAAGATGCAAGAGAGGTACACGGACAGCAACAACTTCAGGTGGCATGYATGCTCCCGCGGGAGGTCTAATCCTTGCCAATGGACATGTAGCTTCAATTCTCACTGCTTCAGCTCTATTGAAGACTTGCATGATTTCAGCTAGATTCATGGGAACTGTGGAGCCAAAAGGTATTAGATTGTGYAAAGAGTGAGAGAGCTGAAGAACCATACCGCTTGTTGATGGCATCCACAGTGCGCATTCCTCAAGATCCAAGGTCCTACCCAGCTCAATCAGAGTGGTTTTCAATATGGTGYGTCTTTCTAGGGTGCTTCTGATTTCATGTGTCAGCGTTCTAACATGCCTTGCGGTTTCTTCCTGTTTAATGATCAAACCCATTTCCCTGTCAAGATCTTGCACTCTTTTCCTCAAAAATATTTCTCTTGTTTTCACACCGAGTAGGTCAGGTATAATGTGAACAAGCATCAAAGCTGTGACACACGAAACAAAAGCYGTGGACAACTTTGCAACAGTCATAATGACAGCAACAGTTTTAGAGTGGGAAGAAAAAGTCCAGAGAYTTATAAAGTGGGTTGCTCCACAGAGAAGGATAAAAGCACCAAACTGCATAATGACCCATCTATAGGGGAAGAATGCAGACTTGTGGACAAAGTAGATAAGTTCCAATGGAATGGAGAAGTAGGCAAAGGCAATAAAGAAATCGGATATGTACTGGTAYTTGACCAAAAGCTCATCAGCAGGCCAATGGGTTTCGAAGCAATCACAGGAATCCATCCTCTTTCTTGTTACTACAGCTTCAATATATGAGCTGCAAGGCAGATTAATCCGAAGCATATATACAAAAAGTAGAGGCTTTTTAAGTTAAAAAAAGAAATGAGTAATTCAAKAAGCCTATCATCATAGCAAAAAATGGAAGAGAAACGGTGAAGTTGCTAACCTTGAAGATGCAGTTGGTGCATATTAAGATGATGATTTGAGGGAAACTTTCTCCAAGGGCTGGAATTCACGGAAAAGAAAAGTCCCACACCACACCACACCACACCACACGGGTTTTATTTTTCAAAGTAAAAAAAAAGAGAGAGCAGGACAGGATGCATGTTGAATGAAACGGATTTGGTTATAATTAGTGGTTCTATTTTCAAACCAAGTAAGAATGGGAGTAATGAAGGAGAAAAGAGAGGTACCTACCTGTTCACAGATTTGGAAATGGAAAGCTGCAGCAGGTGCATGCATCTYAATAACTAATTACTTTTTGAAACTACATATACAACCACAAACAGACGTATGCATTTACTTCATACATACAATATGCAAAGAAACCCAAACAACCCACTTGAGCAAAATTCTTCTTACTCATCATGCATATTATAAATTTAGATATCAACTTTGCATCAAATAGGCAAAAATATCATTCATAACAAAATGTCATTGTTACCATCCAAAAATACAACCTAGCATCATCTATTTGCTACTCAAAACTGTGTCTTCCTTTCCTTTGTCATAATATATAAATAAATATYACTCAGATTTGTATTTGTGGCTCAAAAATGTTACACCATGCTGTTGGACATAAGACGACGATGCCAACATCAACTCCTGCTTTTCTCTTTCTTCACAAACCGTTGTTCGGGATCTAAACGTACTTCTCCCTGCATATTTTCCCATAAATCATCAAAATCATTCTGAAATCCCTCGTCAAACCARTCCAAAACTTCCCGGTAAAATGTTGCTCTATTCTCATCCCATACCTTCCTTAGCATCCTACAACTTTGGATATGCCTTTTCCTTAACTCATACACAAGCTTCCCRAATCTCTTATGGCCTAATGTCTCTGCTTTCAAAATGATGCCAGGTTGGGCTGCCATGAACTTCCGCACTCGTCTTACACATGGCAACACCATTCCCTCGAGCAAAGAATAACAGAAAACAGTCACCCCAACTTTCTCATCTTTCACAGCCAAACTGTGTAGTGGGAGCTGCCATAAATGGTCGCCAAAAGTTACACTCACCCAGTTATACACTTGGTCGCTCTGAGGCTCGTAGTAAGGTCTAGGGTCCATAAGTGGAGCAGAGAAACTGCAAAGATACTCCGAATATCTAGCAAGCCACTCCGGTTTCACTCTTGTGGCTCCATGTATATATGGCCGTTTCCTGTCAACAAGTTCGCTGTAAACCAAAAACTCCGGGGCTGTTCTCGAAACAGATGACCAGCGATGAAGGAACACTGTTTCACTTACTTTGTGAGCTTCATATCKTGCTGCATTCACTTTCCTGTCTTCCTCCGATAATCCTGAAATCCCTCTAACACGTCTCGCAACTCTATCAGCCCAGCCGGCACATATAGCTTGGCCCAAAAGCTCTTCCTCATTCAACATCAGGGGATGCTTATTAGAATAAACCATCCAAGCTCGTTCTACATCCTCCATATTCCCATAAGTCCACACAAGTTCCTGCTGTGTGTCGCACAGGGTTTGGTTAAACACTAAATGCAGAAGCTGTTTTCTCAACTTTGACATTTCCTCCATGGTTTTAAGGTGTAATGCATTCTCATCACAGAATTCCACCTGGTTTTCTGATAGTTCGAAGCACTGCAAGGCGTAAGCCACCGTTAAAGCATCACTGGTAGGGTTTGAAAATTTAGCACGGGATGTTTTAGCATTTTCTTTCAGTTTCCTTTTCTTCACTTTTTCATCCTTACTGATAACATTTGAGTTTTGATCCTGCTTCAAAGTGTCGATATCAGCACRCCCTCCTTCAAACTGCATTACGAAAGGATTTGACAAGCTCAAAGCTGCAGCAGCCGCAAGTGCATATCCTAGAATCAAGTTTCGTCTTGCGGAACCTTTTCCCTTGTTCAGGATTTGAATGACTGTAAGAAGCATTCGTGAATGGCGAGGACTCATTGGATAATGTGACATGGCCTTCCCAAGAGGTGTTAACCTCCCATCACAATCAAGTGCTTGGAGAGATTTTAAACAAACCTCTGCTTCAAACAAGGCTTTAGCTTCAGGAGGAGTAGGAAATGGAAACTTTGTAATCTGAATCAAGTTGAACAAAAAAATCAATGCTACAACCTAACCAGAAAAAGAAATATAACTAAAATGTATATCGTCACAACAGAAAAATCACATTACTAATTCTAAGTTATGATTACTAATAGACAAAAGTAAATTGGGACAGAAAACTTGCCAAAAAAAAAAAGAAAATGCTGCATTTTTGTGGGACAAACCCAAAATAAGAAGTGTGGCGTCTTTTGGGACGAAGTAATAAATTTGATTATTTATAAGAGATGGAAACAAACAGGCAACCATGTTTACAACAACAGAAAAAATTGAAAAAAATTCATTTCCAAGAAGTGTCGATATTTACCCTAATACATGCATAAAGTAGAAATCATGAACGGTARATTACCTCTTTAATACCCATGGATTTCATGAGAAGAACCACACCATCAACAGGTATTTTTAAGATTTCAGCCGTTGAAAAGTCAGCAAATATGTTGTTAAAGACAGCAGAAGAATAGAGACGATAACAGTGGCCAGGCCCTGTTCTTCCAGCTCTTCCAGCACGCTGAGCTGCAGATGCTTTACTTATCCACTGTACTTCATATGTTTCCATTCCGTTGGAAGAATTGTAATTCTTGACCTTTTCTCTTCCTGTATCAACCACATACTTTATGCCTGGGATTGTTAGAGAGGTTTCAGCAACATTAGTGGCAACGACTATTAAACGTTCTCCTTCCTTAATCTCCTCAAACACACGAAGTTGTGCAGATGCAGGAAGCATGGCATAGAGGGGTAGAACACACAATGCACCAGGAGACACATCATTTGCCTCCTGCCTCGCTACAGAATTAGAATCTGGTTGTTTTGAATCACCTGGAGTAGTAGGATTATCCTGAGAGCTATCCGACTTAGAGTCCAAAGTTCTTTTCCCGGACAAAGCTTCAAAAGCAGCTTTCAGTGAAGCAAAATTTCCATTTTCCCCTAAAACATTATCAGGCTTCAACACATTCACTTTATCAACAACTGTCTCCACATCACTCTCTTCATCAGATTCGAAGGAAGCAAAAGATTCATCTTCTGACAAATCACAATCATCTTCATCAAAAGAACTAAACCTGTCTGTTTGTTGGTGGCTTGATTGTCCTTCGATCTTAAATGCTTCATCAATCTCCTTCATGTCGTATTCTATAAGCGTGTCGGTGACAACAGGTGCMTCACTATTAACATTGGTCTTCCTCTTCGTCATCTCAAGAGATGCGTTACGCAGCTTACGACACAAGTATTCTACTTCCCTTTGGCCCGTCACAAATACAAGTATTCCCCCAGATGGAAGTCTCTTGTGAATCGACAATATCTTTTTATAGGCTTGGCCAAGGTAGTCCACTATATCTGTTCTCTTTGAGAAATGTGTAGTTACTGGATATTGTCGAGTTGGAACTTCAATTACAGGCGGTGGATTAGCAAAGATTTTACCATCGGACACAAAGTCTTCAACCCGCAAGGTGGCACTCATCAATATGAGTCTTAACGGAAAGATCTTCTTTTCAGGGCTAATCATCTTTCCGGTCGAAAGCTCATATGATTTCTGCTGTTCATGTATTTTCTGACATTAAACACAGGACCAAAACCGTAAGCAAATTAAGAAAATAAGAAATAGAAAAGTAAAGGACAGATGAAAAACATTATATCACTTCAATAGTTTCRGCCATTGAGTGTCTGAAGCTGGGAATCCCAAGTGACAAGCAGGACAGCCCAGAAACAAGTCAGGCATTACAGATCACTGGTTTCTTATTTCTTATTATGTAAAAGAAATGACATGTTTAAAGCTCTCCCACCTGGCGTTCTACTATAATGCGAGATAGCATTCCAGTAAGTATGTCCGTATTCAGACTCCTTTCATGAGCCTCATCCAATATTATTGCTGAGTATCGCTTCAACAGAAAATCATTCTGCAACATGAGGATAATATCAACAGTTATTCTGGCTTGAAATAAGAAGATTGAAAATGAAGAACAGAGGAAATTGATTCAAGAAAAAAGYCTGTGTTATTGGTTCCCTTTAATGGACACTTCAGAGTTTAAAAAAATACAGTAGGCAGCGGTAAACTAGTACCATCTGGAAAGAGTAATTCAAATCTGAGACCTTACYATCTCTAATTAAACCTTCAATATTTACAGTTCTCTTCTAAAGTAAAACCTACAACTTTAATCCACAGCCTCCTAAACGCATGACATTGGAAAGAGAATGCAAAATCCAACAAACTTGTTCCTCCATCCGACCCCAAAAAATGTTGATTATATGCAATATTATTGCTAAATATCTTTCAATATTTTACCCACTCAATTCAATGTAACCCTTATGCCGAAAGGACATGCTACAACCAACCACTTTCAACACCACCCCCTTGTCTCCCTCTCCAACCACCAAAAGAGGGGGGGGGGGAGGAGAAGGTAGTAAATTTTCAGTTTTCTTCCTGTAATGACAGAATCAAAATAAATCAAGATTGGGATCTGATGTGATTGTTGAGAAGAAAGGGTAAGATGCACATATTTCAGAAAGCCCAACAGAAGGCATACAGTTAAACAACTCATATCATTAATGGATTGTAGTAGATTTCCATTTTTCATTGTAACTTCTATTTCAGACRAATTCAACAAAATTGTGTCTTCCTAAAAACCTCCGAAGTCTTCTAACTTTATCAACCCTAGGTAATTGCTTTCCTTAATATAATCAAACTTCCTATTCCTTGTACTGGTTTTTGGTATAAGTGGATTCCTCCTACAAAATTTTCTAAATTCAACTAAGACATTTCTGACATTAATAGCTCGTGTACACGTTTTTTGTTGGGGAAGGGTTCTTAAGAGGTTCTAAGCAGAGACTATTTGTAGTCTAGGCTTTTCCCATTTAAATTGGTATGATAGGCCTTGACAGGTTTATCATTCTCTTCTCTTTTTTTTGGTGCAAGAGACATTATACCAAGCTTGGGCACTAGCCTCATTGGTAGGACCACTTGCATAATTTTCCGTTTTGGTAGAACWTGCCATTATATTTTAATCAATAATCTCTAGTCTACTTCTTGACATGGACAATGCTAGTGGGGTTTTTAAAACAAGTTTTCAACATTGTGGAGTAGAAGAAACCCTCATTTTTCAACATTGTGGAGTAGAAGAAGAGGGGGGGAGGGGAGAAACCTGCAATTCTCGAAGCAATATTCCATCAGTCATGAACTTGATGGAGCAGTTCTCTCCAATCTTCTTGTCATGCCTAACTTGGAAACCGACCTCCTTGCCTAGACGAAGCCCAAGCTCAAATGCCACCCGCCTTGCAGTTGCAAGGACAGCAACTCGACGTGGTTGGGTAACACCAATAATGCCACTTCGAGTACTACACTGTTTTGAACCAAATCCTGCTTCATATAGGAACTGCAAGATGGCAACAAAGGATCAAGTGATGTTTCCAGAAACTACATTCAAACTAATGTGGAACCCAGATACYGTTACGGAGTCAAATAAGCTCACCTGAGGAACTTGAGTAGTCTTACCACACCCTGTTTCTCCACATATGATGACATTGGTATTCTCATATATGGCTTCCATTATCTCCTGCTCCATCATGACTATAGGAAGATCCATTCTATTGCTCTCAACCTCCTTCGGCCTAGATACATGAACCACTGTGGGGAYCGCTAGAGGTTTCGGTGATGGACAACTAACCGTGCTGTTTGCAAAGCAGCTTACCTCCTGTAACATATTAAGGCCCCTCTTGAAAAAAGGCTAGTTTACACAATCTGAAGGTATAAATAAATCGCACACATTCMCAATTTCACAATCTGAAGACACAATAATCAAACCAAGATTTTTTTAAGCATTTAATAAAGCTGACCACTGATTTTGCGATGCTTCTACTACAGCTAGATGTTGGCAATGAAGCTTTGGGATCGTCTAGCATGGGTGTGTCATTATGCTCATTATCAACTTTCTTAGCAGACGAAGAAGGGTCTAATGCACCAATGGCTTCAGCTCCTTTGCTGCATGGTAGCTCTACAGAAGATCTCGGAGAAGGTTTGACATTTGCGATTTTGATATCTCTGTTCATGGGCTGAATAAAGACATCCTCTGTGTCAACTTGGTTTGAGTAAATTTCACCCGAAGCAAGTTCAATCYCACAAGAATAACTGTTACTAGCTCTTCTTTTTAAAGGTCGATCACTATGCTGCAGTACCAAACCCGTCTTAGCAAACTGCATTTCTCTTCTGCGTTTCTCACGGGCAGTTTCAACCTATAAATATTTAGCTGTTACACATGAACACAAATCCCAAAGCACATTTTTTAAAGCTTAGAACGAAAGCCAAACCTGGCCCAAATTGCGTGAAGACCACATGAGTGAATAAGCATCCTCTTGAATTTTGTATTTCCTGACAAGTTAAAACCAACCAAATGCTGTAAAAAAATTAGAACATGCACAAGGATGTGTGTGAGCATGTATCCAAWAGAAGCTCACATACTCTAATGTCTCTAGGCTTTTAGATAAGAGAACCGATTTCTCCTTTTCCTCCTGCACACATAAGTAATCAGTCACATTTGAACCAAACAAAGTTTAAAGCAGGATGGATGGATCAAACACACAAACATCAAGCTTCTTCAGCTTTYTCTTCTGGGAGCTGCTTGGTTTAGGTCTCTCCCTTTTCTTTGACTTCAGAGATCCCTTCAAAAAACAAAACAAAAAGAGCAAAGCAATGTAGCAACCTCGTAAGACAGTGCATAAGAAGATGCAACAAGGATACAAAACCGAAGTACTATCAGGACATACCTGTTTCAAACTTCTCTCTTTATTAWTTTTCTTTTTCTTGTGCATCAAAATCATCATGTTGCTATCATCTCCATTTAAGCTAAAAAAAGGCAGTATGAATAAGTAACTCAACCACTAGAAACTTGAAGATACTGGTCAAGAGAACTTTTGCAGATTATTTGGTAAATCAACAAATTTAACCAAACCAAAATCACCCAGTACATCCCACTCAGAAGTATGGTCGGGGGAGGGTGAGACACAGACATAGGCTCTATCTCAAAGAGTAGAGCAGCTGTTTCCGTGAACCCCCCCCCCCCCCCGGGTGGGGGTGTTGTGCAAGAGTATGAACAAAAAAGTAGCAGGAATAACGATTTAGCATATGGTGAACGAAGCACAACAAAAGTACAACTAGCAAGTACAGCATAAACACAACCCCAACATAAACTGCCAAGCCTCCATCTCCCTCCTAACATGTCCAACTCCCACCTCCCCTGCTATGCTAGTAGGAGGTTCCAAATCCTAGTCTTGAACTCTACACCTCCGCCTCCAATTGCTCCTTTCAGAGGTCATGTCCTCAGAAATATCMAAGGCCACCACGTCCAACCTAAGACCTTCCTCTCCTCCTCATCCCCCTCTAGAGTCACTCTTTCTACTCTCCTCACAGGTGCTGTCAACGGTCCTTGGAATTTTAACAAACTTGATTAACTCAATTGAGACAATAAACACAGAAACGTGGTAGGCATTCCCAGGAAAAAAGCATGACGTCTGATGATAATGCAATGAAGTGAAAGGTATAATAGATCTTCCTTTACCTTGATAAATGTGACCCACTGTCTAAACCCTCCAAGGCCTCCATTGTTTCCTGCGAAATCATATCAGAGACCAGTAACGTCAAAAACAATCTTGGAAATACGTCTTCAAATCGTAAGAAGCATCAACTTGACATGGTAAAACTCATGATAGTGGTCATGGCACGGACAATGGAATAAAAAATGGGCCATGTAGCCGCCATAGCACCTTTCCAAATTCATTAAAATCCAGAAACTAAAAAATCATTCAAGCATAAGATATAATGGTTGCCAAAAACCACAAGATCGAATCCCAATGAGAAAGCAGCAAAACCCTAAATTAGAAATCGATATTAGTTACTTGGAGAAATTTGAAGAAAGAAGGATGCTTGAAGCAAAGGCTGGTGCAGAAGTGAAGAAGAAAACTCTGAGGCGGATGGAGAAAAACACGTAGGAGTTTTGTAA